ATTTATTTTGTAAAATTATTTAAATATTTTTAATAAAATAATATAAAAACAAAATTAAAGACATTTAAATAATTTTATAAGATAAACAGTATATAGTCTTCACCCTTCTAAAATAATTTTCTAATAAAAATTAATTAAGAATTACAATACAAATTTACATTTTTAAATGCATATGTAGTTGCACTGTGGCTTGTTATCCATAATAAGTAATATTTTTTTTTTTTTAAGTTTTACCAAATATCCTCAATGTTATAATTCCAATGTTCTTATGAATAAATAAATTCATTGCTTGCTTCTTATTGTCATATTCCTTCATATATCGATGGTAATTTCTTTAGTTCCTTAATGATAGTGTGCTATTTAATTCATTTGTTTTTTTTTTTTTTTTTTTTATTTGACAAATATGTTGGTGGTTAATCATTCTTTTGGACACTAGACCCCCTTGGAGATAATTACGACTTAAATTTTTTTTTTTTTTTTGCCGATTTGACAATTTTCCATGTAGGAGAAAAGCAAAAGTGCAAAACTATATGTAGTATGACAAGATCATGACTAGCACTTGCAATTGTACTTAATGATACCAACAAAATTAAAGTTGGTTAAAGGAGTACTTGGTTTTTGAGAGTTTTGGAGGAATGCAAACTTACCATGCATTAACATTTCTCGTAAAAAATCATGTAGATACCAGTAAGAGTTTGGTTGAATTCCATGTGGATGTGATTATGTTATTGCCTACAACACAATGAACTAGTACTTGGAAGATAATGCATACATACAAAAAGCAAGGTACAGAAAGTGAAAATGGAGCAGAAGATCTAGATATACGTATTTGAACTAATGAGTTTGTACTAACGTTAACATGCTTATAAAGTAGGGATGGAGAAGAGATTGGGGAAAATATGCGCCACCAAGACAAAGCATGGAACTCATGAGTTTGTCCTTTCATCAATGGATTTTATTTGATCTAAATTTTTCTCATTCATAATGACAAATTCTCTGCCCCTATGTCTTTTTTTTTTTACTCAAAAATAATATAATTACAATTGCACATAGTATTATTAGTTTTATAATATGATCCCTAGTCTTCTCATCTTTCCTTTTTCTTTCCTCTTCTGTTTTCTACTTTTTCTTTCTTTATCCACCTTTCTCTTCTCTTTTCCCCTCTTTTTTGCTTGCATAGATCTGGTAAATTAGGCCCCGGTGAAAAGGAAAAAGAAGAAAAGGGTCCATTTTGGTAAATGAGTATAAATCACTTGCCAATTTGACTATTTCTTCATGCACGAGAGAAAACATAATTATACATATCTTGTTGATGGAAACCTGAAATTTCAGTGCAATGGGGACAGGGATATTAGCAGGTACCAAAATATTAAGGTCATCAAAAATTGTAATATATTGTTTTAAAAATATTAATTTTATTTAATTTAATTGATAAAAATAATTAATAACTATAATTATTAATTAAT